TGATCATAAAGTAGATCCCGGGCTGTCTGCTGTGCAGCAACAAGAGGGACCGAGGCTCCCACTTCTCCCTGCATGCTTTGGGGGAGGCACATCTTTCCTCAGGGTGCAGCTGTACATTCCTAGCAACTGCCTGGAAATCACCAGAAGGGAAAAGGAATTGAGGTATCTATGGAGAAAGGCATGTCCCACTTTCTCCTCCTGGAGTACTATGGCCTTGCTAATGGAGCCTTGTGGTTCAGGGACACAAGAACCTGACTGTGAGGCCTGAAGGTCACAGAGGGGAAGGGTCAGCATGAAAATGATGGGCCAGTACTTGGGAGACCAGCCTTGCACCCTCTTGTTCCACTCTAGCTGTATGACAGTCGCCCGTCAGCCTCTGTGCCTCGGTTTCCTCCCCTGTGCATGTTTGCCCCACTGTTGCAGATGGGCGTTTTTTGCTCTGATTGCCTACTGGGCATGATTTCATTATACTGCACTCACAGCACCCTCTACTGCTGAAGCCTCCGGCTCTCCGGAAACCATTCATCTCCCTTCTCAGAACTCACTCTGCAGTGACACACCTTCTTCAGTCAGGCCAGGCTCCTCATGTTCTCACCTTGGCTGTGCTGGTATTTGGGGTCAAGGGCAGTCCTGAGCCTCTCCCTCCTGGGGCCATAGTCATATTCTTTCACCTCTCCTAACTGTGCAGCCTCCAACATGTGGGTCTGGGAACACACTCAGAGAGCACCGTTCTATCCACGCCATGCTTGCACTAGACACTTGGTGGCTGACTTCCTTTAGCACAGACATCTGGGTACATCTGCAAGAGCTCCTCTTGCTTCTGAGCCAAACTCAGCAACGCCATGCTTGCACTAGACACTTGGTGGCTGACTTCCTTTAGCACAGACTTCTGGGTACATCTGCCAGAGCTCCTCTTGCTTCTGTGCCAAACTCAGCATGTATGTGTGTGAACACACACACACACACACACACACACACACACACACAGAGAGAGAGGGGGGCTCCTTCCTTCCTTAAATACCCTTTCCTCTCCCAGCCTATTTGCCTAGATCCTCCTCAAGGAAC